CCTTCCTTCCAAACCAAGGACATTTCAGAGTTAGGTATCCACCCAGCTTCCCATAAGAGGAAGGGGCTTTGTAGGCGGTTGGTCCTGCCTGATTTGCAGGCCTCAAATAAAGAAAGGACATTTTTAATTTTTGGAAACAAAGATGCTGCGCAGAAGCAAAGAGAGAATAGAAGAGGGGGCCCCAGTGTTGTTTCTTACAGATATTTGGGGGTTCAGTCGGAAAACAAGAAGGGAAGTTTCTAATTTAGGAACAAAAAATTGATGCAATACAAAACCCGGGATGGCGCAATACATCTCTCCATCAGGCATTTTGCGAAACATCGGGGGGGGGGGATTATGGCTGAGTTTTTTTTCCCCCACAAAGGGGTCACTCTGAGCCTCTCAGAAAGAGGAAGCAGCATCCAGGGAGGCAGCCCAGGAGGCCTCCTGTTGTGTCTCAGGCCAGGCGTCCACAAACACACCCAGAGGGAGTTGCAAACTGCTGAGCGGTGGGGGAAGCAAAGGAACTAGGAGCAACTGGTCAGAGTCCAAGCTGGCCGTAACCGATGACCAGGGGCCCTTTGTCCAGCACTTTTACGCCCCCCCCCAGACTCTCTTAGGTGTAGCTTGTGTGGCTGAATCAGCACAAGTCTCTGGAATTTGTTACACACAACACACACACACAGCCACACAGCAATAGGGACAGACGTTTTGATGACTGAGTTCAAACTGCATGTTAATCTGATTTCCGTTTTCTAAAACGTTTATTTTGTGCCTATTAATTATGTACTGTACTTCATAGATGTGAAGGTTTTTGTCCACTGAAGAAGACTTTTTGCACTAAAAGTCCAATTTTATTGGCGGGTGAAAGGGAGCTGGGTTTTTTTTTCCTGTTTAGAACAAAATCACTAAATAAAGACAAGTTTAAAAGTCAAGTGTTCAAATGTCTCTTTAATGGATGGGGCTGAACCTGTCATTGAATCGGTTTATCAGCAGTCTCAAGGCAGGGCGGGGGGGGGCACAGACATTGCTGAAGGGGCGGGGGGGGGGCTTCCCAGTATTACTGTCGGCTTCCCAATTCTATTCGACGTAAGTCCTCGGGTGGAAGACAACAGGTGGGCAGCGGGGCGGAAGCGAGAATGGCATCGGGGCGGCTTTCCGGAGAAGAATCCCGCCACGCAGAGCTCCGCTTTCTCCCAGCTTCCCATAACGACTCGCACAACGGCGAAGAAACAGCAGATGTGGAGAAGCGGAGCGAAGGCGCCTCGGCTGCTCCCAGGCCCAAAACGTCCCAGGAGCCCCTTCCCACCGCTCCGATCTCCGGCTGGCATCGGGGCTCCTTCCCCGCTCTCTTCGCCTCGCCCTCGGCCAAGAGGGCCAGGAAGGCTGCTGCCCGCCAGCAAGGCCGGCAAAGGCGGGAGGCGACCGGGGGTCCCAGCTAGAGACCCAGGCAAGGCGGTTCCGGAGAGGGGGCGCCCTTCGACTCCCCGCCAGCTGCCCCGCTTCGCTCGGGGCCCTCCGGAAGCGACGGAGAACGTGCTGCCCGCAGAGAGCGCAGTCCTGCCGTGCGCCCGAGTGGGCTGCAGCCTCCCCGCTTTGCCGTCTGGAGAAGCCTTCCTCGACCCCGGTCCGCCCGCCAGCCCAGCCCCAACCCCGCTGCAGCCGGGCCCGGCTCCAAGGAACGTAGCTGCGGAGCGTTGCGCTTCCCGCTTCAACTCGGAGGGAGGATAACGTGGCTCCCGCGGGGCTTCGGCCCCCAACGCGCTCGGCTTCCCTGGCCCGGTGGCCGCTTCTGGAGTCCTCTCCGCTGTCAGGAAAGTTGCTTTGGGGAGGTCGCTCGGCCAGTGCCGGAGTCTCTGGGCCCAAGGACAGCGCCTCGCCGTCCCCGTCCTCCCGCAGCCTCGTTTAGGGCCAGTTTCCCCCAGTCAGCAAGCCAGCATAGCAAAGAGTGGATCCCTAGCAAAGCAAAGCAGCCTTAGCGCCGCGGCTCAAGATTCCGAAAAAGCGCCCAAGGGTGGGAGACGTTTCCCAGGGGCTTCCGCCAGCGATCGGCAGGAAGGAAGGTCGGGGCCCATTGCGCCACGGGAAGCTTCTCTTGGCTCGGAAAGGGCCTGGGCGAGTTTGCCACACCCCCCCCCCCCGAAGATACCAACCAGAGGCCGAAACACCAGGCACTGCTGAGCCTGGCAACTGTTTTACCTACATGCTTCCTTAAAGAAGACACCTGGTCCTCCTCCTCCTCCTCCTCCTCCTCTGTCCTCGGGAACCCTGGAGCCCCAGGGCACAGGTTGTGTTGACCTTGGCTCCGGTTGGGTTTCCAGGAGATCAGCTAGAAGCTGCACAAGCTGTACCAACTGCCTACTTTTCCCAGAAGTTAAGCTTCACTTGGGGGGGGGCACATCTTTCTTCTTGGTTCTGGGGAGATTCTGAGCCCTCCGGTTGGAACTTGGGAATTATCTGTTTGTTAAATTTATATGCCAGAATTAAGCCCAGGCATTTCATTTATTTACTTCTTCTATTTCTACAGCCACCCAACTCTGGGCAGCTTACAATTCTAAGATTATAACACATTTAAAACAATGTTTAAAAAATTCCCAGCAGCTCCAGCAGCAGCGGCGATAGCGGAGCCCAGCCAGAGGGCCCCGTCCTTCCTGTGCCCCGGACGGAGGCTCCTTTCTGGCTGCTGCTGCTGCAGCCACTTTTCTCAACAGGCCAAAGGCTTCCCCTTCATTTGTCAAGTGGGGGGGGCTTCTCCCCCAGCTGAAGCTTCCTTCCCTTCTCCAGAAACTGGGCTGGGACATGTGACTTGCTCTCCAGACCACCCCCAGAAACAAGGGAGTTCCTTCTGAAGGGGAGGAGGGAAGAGGAGACGCCCGTTTCCTTGTGACTCACTTTGCACAATTGTCTCCGAAGGGCCAACATGGACTCCCTCTGTGCCCTCCTGGCTCTCCTCCTCCTCTTCTGCTCGGCAGGTGAGCCACAGGAAGGGCCCTGGGAGGCGGCCCTTCTGCTGGGGATGGCTGGGACAACCACAGTTGCAGCCGGGGTCCTTCCTCCAAGGGCACTTTTCCCATCCTCAAGGTGCTCTTCGAAGGCTTGAATCCGTTTTGCTTTTTGCTCAGCAAGGCAGCTTTAAAAGTGGAGGGATGCAACCTGGGGCTCTTCGGAGAAGCGGTTGTTTGTGGCTGGGGAACCCTTCGTCCTTTTAATCCTCTCTCCCCCTCCTTCGGCTTCTTCACCTGGACATGGACGATGCCCCTCTGGGTGGGTCTTTGGCCGGCAGGAGAGCCCAATGTCCCTCGGCACCAGGGGCCAAAGAGGTGGAGGGCCACACTGGCAGCTTCCACCAAAGTCCAGGGAAATGAGAGGGGAGCAAGGCGTGGCAGTTGGTAGTGCTGAGCAGCAGAGGGCGCTGTTCCCTGGCCAGTAGCAGGAGAACAGAGAGTGTAATGCAGTACTTGGGAGGGGGGCACTGAGCACAGCTGGGGGGGGGGGAAAGCAGGCATAGACCTGAAGGAAGTGGCATAAGGAGTTGGGAGAGAAGGAACAGGCCGGTGCTTTACAGCTGTTGGGGCGGTATTTATTTCTGCAAATTGCCCCCCCCTCCCCAAAGGGCGTCAGGGAGCCTCCTGGTTGGCTGGCCTTCCTGCTCCCCCCTGTCCCCGCTGGGTCTTCAAGGAGGCTTTCCTGGTTGTGGGGGGTGGGAGGTGTCAGAATTTGCCCCTCCCTTGTGTCCCAGGAGCATCTGACTCCCCCTGGAAGGCGGTTCGTGTGGGAGATGCCGTCACGTTCCCCGTGGTGGCTCCGAAGGGCCAGAGACTGACCAACATCCTCCTGAGGGACTCCTCCCGGCAACAGGCGGTGGCCATCTGGATGGACTCCAAGGAGATCACCGTGGTAGACATCAAGTACGCCGGCCGGGTGACCTTCCAGATGGACGAGATGGCCTTCAGAATTGCCAACCTCAGCCTGGACGATGGGGGCAAATACGAAACCTCCACCGGCTTCACCTCCTCCTCCCCAGTCGTGCTTGGCAGCTTCCTGGTGGCCGTATTCAGTAAGGAATCTCCCTGCGTGGCAGATAAGTGGCAGCTGAACTGCGTAGAGGCTGCCCAGAGGAGCAGGAGGGAGAGGAGGGTGGAGCGTTTCTCTAGGGAAGTAGGAGGAGGTGGGACTCACAGCTGTGATCTCCAAGGAATCAAGTCCCTTTGAGTTCCACATTTCCTTCCTTGCATCCAGCTCATTTCTTGAGTGTGAACGCATGAAACATGAGGCTGGGAGGGACTGGGGGGGGGGTCACGCTACTTTTAGCTGAGCCGAACTTTAGGGGATGCCCTTAAGGAGAAGCCTCGGTGGGTCTGGTTTCCAGGCATCCTGAAAGGCTTCGCCCGGTGACGATCCTCACCCCCGTTAGTGCTTTGGGCAGCACTTTCCCTGCTCCGTTGTGTTCCTCTGCGGAACTTTCAGTTCCTCAGTCACTTCTTGTGAGTTTGTGCAAGGGAGGCAGAAGTTGGCGTGACCTCATGGCGGCCAATCTGGGCCAAAAGCCGATTCATTTCGCGGCTCAGCTAGAAAACGATTCTGCGTTCGAGGGGAGGATGGTCCTGCTTGAACTTCGAAGTTCAGGGGGTTTGGCTGGATGGCCTCAAGAGTCCCTTCCTGCTTCGGGGTCCTAGGTCTCCTCTCCGGCTGCTGCTCCCTCTGAATTGCCCCCCTCCTGTCTCTCCTGCCAGACGTCACCCAAAGGATCTCCCCCTTGAAGAACGATTCCTGCCTCATCTACCTGGACTGTGAGGCAGGGATGGGACCTGGCCACAGAGTGACCTACGCCTGGAAGGACACGAAGGCCGGCACCACCCTCAGCCGGGAAGCCTGGCTCACGCAGCTTCTGCACCCCGACCAGCAAAGGGACTACGCCTGCGTGGCCCAGAGCTCCGCCGGCCAGAGCACCTTCAGCTTCGTCCTCCAGCATCCCTGCGTGCCCAGCGCTGCAAGTCCAGGTGAGAGGCAGGACCTGCCCAAGACGCCACCCCCTCCCCCCCTCCCGCGGCTGAGCTGAGGCACCCGCAGCTGGCAAAGGCTTCTCTGCACAAGCCCCCGGGGCCTGTTCGAACCCAGCCAGAGGGAGACTCGCAGCACCAATATTTGCCCACAGAGCAGGTGCCCCTCCTTGGCACTAGCAGTTTGGCACAGAGGCCAGCAGCTGGCATTGCTGCCCCCTGCAGGTTCCCTTCCTTGGCCACTAGGAATGCCTGCCCGCTTGAGGCCGGGATAAACAGTCAGCCCTCCTTCCTTGTTTTGTGGAGGAGCCCAAATCTTGCCACCTGCGTGCGCCACTGAATGGGGCCCTCAGCAGAGTCTTGGCACTTCTGCAGGTCCTTATTTCGGGGGCAGGATCGAAATAGGTGGGGGGGCTGCCAGGTGGTCCCCGGCTCTGCAAGGGCGTAACGGAGATCCCAAGGAAGCTCAGCGGCCCCTCAGGAGGAGCTCACGCGATCCAAACAAACCCTGGAAAGAGTATTACAAATAATTCAGCCGTCCCAATTACCATATTTGAGATCTAAGCAGATTTGTCAGCTGTGTTAGAATAGCTGCACTTCTGAAGTTTGCAGAAGCAAATGTTCCCTCTACGTTGTTTTCGGTCTCCTCTGCATTATTCATTGGCTTCATTACTGGGTATTCAGCAATTCTTTTTGAAGTTCTTTAAGTCATTATTTGGCGAACCCTGCCACCCTGGGATGCGGGTGAATGGGGGAGGGGGGACTGGGGAAAGGAGGGCTGTTTACATGGGGGGGG